CCAGGTCTCCTCACGCGGCTGAGTCTAGGCTGCCTATTGGGACCGAAGGGCGGGCAGCAGGGAACGCATGGATGGGGGGCGGTTCTTGCCCAGTATCACTGGTCGGTTTCACCAGCAACCCCCAGTGCTCATATCCATGCGTCATATTTGCAGGGCGGGTTCTCCAGAAAACGATCCTCAGTGGTGATGGTGGTAGTGGCCTGGCGGGTGGCTATGGCCATTCCCAGATCTAAACCAGGCTTCCTGTTCCCCTCTGGCCCCGTCCCCACCCCCGCCAGGGCCTCCAGTCTTGGGTCTTCCGTGTGCAGGGAAAGGTTGGTCTGCTTCTCACCCCACCCTGCCCCTCCCCAGCAAGGCTCTGTCACTCATTAACCTCCCTCCACCTGCTTTCTGCCCCGCAGACCTCCTGGTTCATCCCATTTCCAGCTTCTATTCCCTGAAGTTTCAAGAGAGAGCTTTTCAGGAGGAAAACGTGTTGGAAGTGTGTTTGCTTTGCCATTTTTAAGCCTAAGGAGACTGCAGAAGTAACAGAAAGGGGCTGAATGAGGCACTGTGGGAGTAGAGGGAAGGAGTGCCACCCTTGACTGGAATGATGGGGGTGGCTTAGGTTATGGAGTTAGAAGTTAAAGGTCAACCAGGTTTTCATAGGTAGAGTTGAAGGTAGGTGCACTTGAAGTAGAAGGAACTGTGTGGCATAGAAGTGCCCCAAAAAATAAATAAATAAATAAACCCACAGAACAAAAAAAAGCAAAGACCAGTTCATTGTCAGCTGGGCTGGAACCAGAAGGTCTGGGCTCCCTCACCCACGAGGCCAGCCCCCTCCTCGCGCAGCTCCAGGAGAGCCAGCGGACACGAAAGAGAGGCCTCCGGGGTGTTCAAACCACCAGGCAAGCTCTGAGGTAAACAGTAAGAAACCAAATTAGATAGTTTTCCAGAGCTTTAGCTGGTCATCAGTGTTGATTTTAAAAGGCCCACAATCAGCTTAATTACTGAAAATCGGGGTGAAACTGTATGGAGAACAGTGAAGCGGCCAAGGAACCACATTCCCGTTGTTTGGAGCACGGATGTTCCACTTGCCCAGAGACAGCGGAATCTCTTAGGACTTACTGTTTTTGAAAAAATCATTTCTATATTTAAAGTTTATTTTTCTTCTTTCCTTATCTAATTATCACATTCAATTGTTTGAAAATCCATTAAAAGATACGTTTTAAAACAGATAAACACTTTGAGCAAATCGCATATCAGTTGAAAGTTTTCAGAGGTACGGGAGGACCCTGCCCCCCGCCCCCGAGAGCTTTTTCCTGCAGATTGCAGCCAGATTGGGCCACCGTCTTTTGTCCTGGTCACTGGTCACGGGTCACTCCCTGCGCCTTCCGTCATTGGGAAGAATTTTCTAAGTAGAGTTTGCGGTTGCTCTTCAACGCCGTGCACGTGGTGTGGAGAAAGCCGAGTTTTAGAGGCTTCGAGATGGCCAAGGAGGCGCGGCCAGAGCGGAAGCCGCAGGGGGGCCGCTCGGCACAGGGCCCTGCGACCCCACCGTCTGCTCCACATCTCCGGGGCTGGGTCTCGCCCACTCCCCAGTGTCGTCTTGGGTCTTGGGAGGGCGGAACTGTGCCTCCGTCTGGGAGGTATGGACGTGTCAGCGGTGCATGTGGGTGAGATTAAAACAGTCCGTCTCTGTCTGCTTCTGGCTGGGTCCGTCTGCGGTGGGAAATGAAAGCGTTGACTCCTTTGGGCTCTCTGTGCCGACCCCGGCTGCGCATCTTCCCATCAGGCCCGCTCAGCACGCACGGTCCCCTGTGACAGCATGACCTGTTGTCCCATTCTGTAACTCAGAATGCCGAGGCGCGGGGAGGGCCAAGGACCAGAGCGCACAGAAGCTTCTAGGGGGTCCAGTGATTCTCCCCTCGCAGGGACGTGGGTGGTATTTGACTTCCAGGTGTTTTCCTTTAGTGTTTGCTGCTTTGGCTTCTCTGTGGCCACGACGGTGCTTTTTCACGTTAAGTTCTCGCCTTTCTCTTGCCCCTCGGACTGCTGCCTCGGCGGGGGTTTTCCCACCGCCCACCCTGCCCGGCTGCGGCGCAGTTCACGGAAGCCATGCGCCGTGTCAGCGTCCGGTGTCCTTGTCACGGCCTGGGTGTCCCCGGGCGGACCTGCCATGCATCCTTCTGTCGGTCGGTCTCTCTGCACCGGCCATTGGACTCAGATACTCACTTCGCAGCCAGTAGGGCTGTTTAAGAGCTTTTCGGGTGCAGACTCATAGGGACGCGAGCCCCGGGAAGCACCGTGTTCTGCGCGTTTCCGAAGAACCGTCATCGCACTGGACAGTTACAACGGACGCCTGCTGGGCTGTCGGTGGACTGTTGCTGCTTTGAACACGTACGTGTGTCTTTTCTCGCTCACCGATTTTCTCCTGGCCTTGGACTCTCAGCATCTTGTCTGCGACGTGCACTTAGCTGTGGTTTTGTCGCTTTAACCTGCCTGGGGTAGATTTGATTCCTTTTGATAGACTCCCAACTTTCTGTTGAGATTCACCTGTTTGAAACAATCTTGAAAATCCCCACAGAAAAGTTCCGAAATGACTGCGGCGCTCAAGTCACGTGCTGCTCTTCTCTGGGGAACGGCGGCTTCTCGAACCTTCTCGCGCGGCATCCGCCGGGCTCTCGGTGATCTGCAGGTTTTGTCCGGCGTCTGCAGTCACTTCATCGTGGGTAGACCCGCAGCCTTCTGGGATGGGTTTTCAACAGCTGTGGTCACTTAGGGTGTCATGGATGATCTTGATAAACTATTTTAAAATTGGTTTTCTCCACTAAATCTGTTTTTTTTTTTTAGAAGACAGTAAGTACTCTGCGGTTACAAGGTCCCCACCCCCGTCCCTTGCTGCTCCAGCCAGTTTAGAAAAACAAGATTAGCTCATATTTAATGTGTCCTAAAATCCGTTTTTCTGTGACTTCTCCCCATATTCTTTTATAATATTTTCTGGGACCACAGTCAGGGGTTCCCAGAGCACCACCCAGGTAAAAATAGCAAACCTTACAAATTGGCCCGCCATCCCTGGGTGCCAGTTAGTTACACAAGCAGCACGGATGTTTTCATGATTCTCGATACACGCTGTGGCTCAAAGAGTATTTGACCCGTTTCTGGATGCCGCAGAGTTGCTATTTCTCTCTCGTGTCACCCGTGATTGGGCCCAGAGGGGTGAGTGGCCCTACGCCTCTTCCCGGTCCTGGGTCATTCATACCGCAGACAGGCGGGGTCCCCATGGGCTTGTACTTGGCAGGACACAGTGCTGGGCTGGGCTGGGCCACGTGTAACAGTTAATGAGATTTCCTCGCCCACCCGTCATCCCTGGACTCACGTAGGGGAACCGAGCTCCTACGTAGCTCCTGCCCAGCAGAGGCAAAGTGTGTCATAATAAAGGCATAAACCGATGCTGAATTGGTTGGGAGCCTGAGCCTGATGGGAAACTCTGGGCTCCTATAATTCTCTCACTCTTTTCGTTATTAAGTTAGCTGGGGTCTGGCAAACGGTGGGAGAGAGAAGAACCTTCTTCCGTAGAAAATGCCACATTGACATTTTTTCAAAGAAAACACACTGTCACTGTCCCAGCTCCTTAATATCACTTAATTTTTTGCTTATTTCTCTTTGACATTTTTCGTTTAAACACATATTTTACATAATTATAATGTATAATTTTAGAGTCTGTGTTTTCACTGGTTTCACATAAACCTTCTTTATAATACTTTACTTCAGCATGGTCTTCCTAATTCTGCTATTTGATACTTTTTCCCCATTGGTAATCCAGTATTTAATACATTTTCTTTTGTTGGGGGAAGATCCTTTTCCGATCTGAATATTAGAAGTGATGCCACACTGACCATCTTTGATTCCTGCTCCTAACCCTCAGGATGACTACATAGTCCAATAGAGAGAAAGCAAGCGTGCAGACAGCATGAATGTTTTCGGGATTCCTGATATACGTACACTGTGGCTCGGGCATTTTTCTACAGATTATGGTGCCACCTGGTTTCACAGTAGCACTTGAGGTAGCTGCTGTGACTGAACGACGTTGGCCTCTAGCAGCTCTGGGTGATACTTCCAACTTGCTTTCATCTTCACCTCTGTGGTTCTTTTTTTTTTTTTTTTTTAAGTTTTTGTTTGTTTGGTTTTTTTTTTGACAGAGATCACAAGTAGGCAGAGAGGCAGGCAGAGAGAGGAGGAAGCAGGCTCCCCGCTGAGCAGAGAGCCCGATGTGGGGCTCGATCCCAGGATCCCGGGACATCTCTGTGGTCTTAATAAAGGGGAACCACTTTCCCTGTATTTGTTCTGGGCGTGTGGGGGGTCATCTTCAGCACTGAGTTTGGGCTGCTCACACACACACAACACGCCCCCACCCCCGGTGCCTGCTGTGCCTGGTGCAGTCCCCAGACGGGCTGTGCCGCGGGGTCCCGGCGACGCCATCTGTGCGCACCCGGAACAGGGCCAGGCGCACGCTGGATGTTTGTCTCTAGACGATGTGAGAGTGCAAGGATATACCCTCCCTCACACCTCTTCTTAGCCTCCGGGAAGTGAGAAAAAGTGCTTGTGTGTTCTGCTACTGAACATATGAGAAACAGATTTTCATTTCAGGTCATTTGTTATAACTTCAGCATTTCGAAATGAACTAATAGCCACATATAGGAGAAATTAAACTGAAGTTGAATTCTTTTATACAGTTTTAATTGTATAAAGTCTCTGTGTGTACAGAGTCTTTAGATAAAATGAAAAAAGTTTTTGAAGTGAAATACATTGTTTCCATTGCAAAAAATCTCCAGTTTTTAAGTAGAATATAAAAGCGTTTTTGCCAGTGTGGATAAATTCAACTCTTTTTAGCCTCTCAAACTTATAAAACTAATGTTGAAGATAACCAGTAAAATCTGGCTGGATATTAGGGTTGAAGGTATTTCTCCCCTGGTGTATGGACTTTAAAGTATGTTTTTGTTTCTCTTATTTGTCTTTAGGTGAAAAAGGCCTTCTTTGCCTTAGTAGCCAATGGTGTTCGAGCAGCACCACTGTGGGAGAGTAAGAAACAAAGTTTTGTAGGTAAGCAGTGTGGGCCCGGGAGCCTAAGAGCAGAAAGCCCAAGGTATCCTAATAGGTGCTGGTCTGGAATTCAGTCTCGAAAACTCTGCCAAGCTGAAGGACTCTGGGCTTTTATGTCCGGGGAAGGTGGGGCCACTAGCAAATTCAAAACACCTACGTGCTCCCACTGAGTCTCTTTACCATATTTATTTATTTATCCAGTTTCTTTTGATTCATTACCTCCCTGGCTCCCCAAAGGAGCTTCTGTGTCTTTGCCAGTTCCTGTGAGGCCAGGGAACAGGGGACACTGGTGCTCAGACTCCTGACCTCTGGCCGCCTTTGCTCACATGTACGTGACTGGGCAGTCCCCGCTCCTGTGGCTGACCCCTTGTGTGGACCATGTGAATGAAGTGATGGAGACAGCATCAATGCCTGTGCTAAATCATTGCTATCCTATTGGAAATGTCCTGTAACTCAGTGTCTGAGCTGGAGAATTTCCCGCCGTGCAGGTCATGGTAGATGGCAGATGTCATCGGGAAACAATCCACATGCCCCCGGAAGTGTCCTGTGTCTAAAGCTTTTGGAATACCTTACCTTACCTTAAAGTATTTTAAATTATTTACATGTCACTGCAAGTCTCCCGTGAGGTTTTGTATTAATCAGTTCCCCACCACTGAATTGCCAAATACCATGTCTGAGTCTATTGTACTTATTGTCAGGCTTGATTTCAGCTAAATTTATCTCCATTTGTTGTAGATAATTAACAGACTAATAGTCCTAAATAATAGAATATATTAAACTGTGCTTGATATGTTTAAAGTGTGTTTTAAGAGCTTTTCTAGAAAAGATTCCAGGCTTGCTTATCCTATGAAATTTTTCATAGTTTTATATTAACATATCATTCTTTGTTCCAGGAATGCTAACAATTACAGATTTCATAAATATACTACATAGATACTATAAGTCACCCATGGTAAGTGCCAGAAATCCTTACATGGGTCATTGGAGCGGTATATTTCTGTGTATGTTGGGGGTGGGGGAGTGCTGGGAGTCGATTTGTACAGATATGTAATATATACCACGCAGGGCACATCAGCATACATCAGTCACTGAATTTATCATCTTTGATGCAGTGTGGGCGTGTCGCGGTGTTGTGACTGCGTGGACCTGCAGACAAAGGCAACCCTGCCCCATACCACTCCGGTGCCCCAGAGCTTATCTTCCCAGGCCTGTCCGTGGGACTGCGGCCTCATGTAGTTACCCCCTAAACTGTTTCACAAGAACTGTATGTACTCTGTGGTTTTAAAGAAGTAAAACTTAAAATTAGAGAAATTCAGTTTTGATATTTTTCTGCCAATTACAAAAAGACTGCCGCTGGCTAATTTTAGTGGGAGAACTCCCTGGTCCCTGGTTCCTTGTCCAGCTGTTTTCTAAGAGCATAGTTTGAGAACCACATAAGGCCTTTTATCGAACACTGTGATTTTTGTGATTCTACCAGCTTGTTTGGTTTTTGGTTTTGGTTTTTGTTGTGGGGGGAGAGTGTTTTTGACAGGGGTGGCCAAGGACAGAACTGCATAATTTTTTTCTTTAATGCTCTTTTGGGTATCTGAAAGGTAAAAGACAATCCAATACTCGTTTTACATGGTAACAGCTAATATTGCCCAATAATTAATTTCCTATGTAAAATGAGGAAAGTGAAAACATAAGAGATACTCTCAGAATTAACTTTAACCAACGATTTTGTAAGTATCCCATATTTATTTCACATGAGGAATCTGATTTCTTAAATACCACCCACGCAGGTAAATATTGGTTTTCTTTATAAGGGTCATATGTCTGCTTTTGAACTAGCAAAATCACAAGTATGACTATTAACTGGATATATTTTTGATGAAATACAGCTAAACCCCTGTTAAAGATCTCAGCAAGGGGCGCCTGGGTGGCTCAGTCAGTTAAGTGTCCGACTCTTGGTTTTGGCTCATGATCTCAGGGTTGTGGGATTCAGCCCACGTGGGGCTCTGCGCTCCCTGGGGAGCCTGCTTGGGACCCTCTCTCCCTCTGCTCCTCCTCACCCTTGCAAACACGCTCGCTCTCTCTAAAATAAATAAGTCTTAAAAAAATAAAACTCTTAGCAGTAGCTAATTAAATCAAAATTTCTATAAAAGCAGTTGTCTAAATACGCAGCCCAAAGTTTTTTTTTAATTTATAATTGACATACAATATTATATTAGTTTCAGATGTACAACATAGTGAATCCATGTTTACGTACATTACAAACTGATGAGCACAATTGGTCTAGTTACCTTCTGTCCCCTTACAAAGCTAGTTACAGTTTTATTGACTATATCCCTGTGACTTGTTTATTCTGTAACTAGGAGTCTGGACCTCTCGGTCCTCTTTACCTGTTCTCTTCTCTCCTCACTCCCTTACCCTCTGGTGACCACCAGTTCTCTGTACCAATGACTGTATTTGTTACTCGTTTGTTTTTTAGATTCTGCATGTAAGTGAAACCATGTAGTATTTGTCTTTCTCTGATTCCCTCTAGGTCCCTCCATGTTGCCACATTTACGTGGCGGGATTCCATTCCTTTTTATGACTAAGACTCGCGCGTGCATGTGTGTGTGTGTGTGTGTGTGTGTGTGTGTGTGTGCATTCGTTCATCTATCAGTGGACACTTGGGCTGCTTCCTTATCTTGGCTATTGTGAGCCCTGCTGCAGCGAGTCTAGGGGTACATATATCTTTTCAAATTAGTATTTGCAGGGCTTTTTTCCCAGGAAAATACCCAGAGTGGGCACCTGGGTGACTCAGTTGGTTAAGCAACTGCCTTCGACTCAGGTCATGATCCTGGAGTCCCAGGATCGAGTCCTACATTGGGCTTCCCGCTTGGCAGGGAGTCTTCTCCCTCTGGCCCTCCCACCTCTCGTGTTCATGCTCACTCTCTCTCTCTCTCTCTCAAATAAATAAAATCTTAAGAAAAAAAAAACCACACACACACACACAGTGAAGTTACTGGATCCTATGGTAGCTCTAGTTCTCATGTTTTGAGGAAAGTCCATACTGTTTTCCACGGTGCCTGCACCAGCTTGCCTTCTCGTGACGGTACACAAGGGTCCCCTTTGCTGCACATCCTCGCCAGCACTTACTGTCTCTTGTCATCTTGATGCCAGCTCTTCTGACAAGTGTGCGGTGGCATCCCATTGTGCTTCCGATTCGCATTTCCCCCATGATGATGCGCCTCTTTTCAAATGCTTTTATCGGGGGCGGGTTTTAAGCTTCCTTAGAGTGTTCGTCGTTGACTGGTTCAGTCCTGTTACTTCCGGGAGCTCCCTGGAATTAATTCCCTGCTGGTTTAGCGAGGACTTTCCATTCCACGGGACACAGTGGCTTCCATTGTGGGTCTTGGCCTGGCCTGTGTGCTTTCACCCTGGGTACGCCCCGCTTCGTTTCCAGTCAGAAACTCTAGGAGGGGGCGCCTGGGTGGCTCAGTCGGTTTAGTGTCTGCCTTTGGCTCAGATCATGATCCCGGGGTCCTGGGATCAAGCCCCACATCGGGCTCTCTGCTCAACAGGGAGCCTGCTTCCCCCTCTCCCTCTGCCTGCCTCTCCCTTTGCTTATGCTCTCTTAATCTCTGTGAGATAAGTAAATAAAATCTTAAAACAACAACAACAACAACTCTAGGAGATCTCAGCTCCGCCTTCTCTTCTCGTCCTGGACAGCTCCTCCCGTTTGGGTTTCTGGCCGCAGATTCCACCTGGCCCCGTCTGCCCCAGACTTTGGTTTCTGTCTCCCTAACTCAGCGGGAGTGTGGCGCCCTGGCTGGGTCACATCTAGAGAGAGCTGTGAGCATGGGGCTCGGTGTGTTTGCAGGCCTTCTCCCAGGGGCGCCAATAGCCCAGTGTCTGAGAACCGTTCCTGCACACATTTTTCCCATTTTCTAGTTGTCTGCAGCCAGGGACTAGTGCGGCCCCGTCCCCCGCCATGGCTGGCAGAGCTCCGCTGATGCCGCCGTGGCTCTCGGGAGTTCCAGTGCCTGCCGTCACTGAACATAATCTATTATCTGCATAATATAGCGCCATTTAATCTGCCCTTATTTTCGGTTTCAACAAAAAGCGGAGGAAAAAGATACAGCATCTATAGTTTCTGTGCCGAGGCACCGTCAGTCGGTGTGCGCCCCTGTCCCCATTACACCGTCGGTTCTGTTGTGACACGCCACCGTGGTTCTTGTTCATGTCACAGTGTCCTGAGGTCATCCTTGTGCTCAGAGAACACTTCCCCTGTTTTACAGAAGTGGAGTTGACAGTTGTTGTTTTTAACGCATTGAAGATGTCATTTCATTGTCTTTTGGCCTCCCAGGGCTTGGGGTCAGAAGTCAGCAGAAACGTTTACCTTCTGTCCTCTGGGGAGTCCGCGTTTCCTTCTGGTTCCAAGCTGTCTCTTCCCCCTGGTGTCAGCACTGGCGGCCCCGCACCTGTGTCCGCTCTTCCTTGTGTGGCTCCTGCCCCAGCGAGGCTGCGTTCCCATGATCCTCTAGGTTGGCTTTTCACCTAATTTGGGAAGTTTTTGATTGCTGTTTCTTTAGGTATTTTTTCTGTCTCGTCCTTCCTCCCCGGGACTTCAGTCGCATGTGTATAGGCCACTGGACGCGGTCCCACAGGTCTCTGCCCGCGTTCGTCTTTCCGGCCTCAGTGCCGTTGATCTTGCGTGTGCTCGTTCTTCCCTGGGTGATCGCCAGTCTTACTTTCCAACCTTATTCCTATGGAATTTTCACTGAGATGGGGAGCTTACCCTTGAAAGATTTTGTAGGGTCTTTGTAAAATTTTCTATGGTTGATTTTCCACAAAATGGAAATGGAACTTTTTCTTAAAATGTCTTATTAAGTTCAATTTCATTTACATACATTGTGTTACTGTTCAGGGGTAGAAGTCAGTGACTCATCAGTTGCAGATCACACCCCGTGCTCGTTCCCTCATGTGCCCTCCTTCATCCCCGTCACCCCATCCTGCCCCACCCCACCTCCCCTCCAGCAGCCCTCAGTTTGTTCCAGAGTTAAGGGTGGTTTGCCTCCCTGTCTTTGTCTTCTTTTATCCTTCCTTCCCTTCTCCTGTGTTCATCTATTTTGTTTCTAAAATTCTGCGTGAGTGAAATCATATGGTATTTGTCTTTCTCGGACTTACTTTGCTTAGCAGAATATCCTAATTCCATCCACATCATTGCAAATGGCAAGATTTAATTCTTTTTAATGGCTGAGTAATACTCCATTGTGTTTATGTATTCCGTGCGTGTCTGTGTGTGTATACACACATACCACATCTTCTTTATCCATTCGTCTATCGGACATCTCGGCTCCTTCCACAATTTGGCTATTGTGGACATCGCTGCTCTAACACTGGGGGACACGTGCCCCTTTGGAGCACTACGTTCATATCCTTTGGGTAAATACCCAGTAGTGCAATTGCTGGGTCGTAGGGTGGCTCTATTTTTAACTTTCTGGGGAACCTCCATGCTATTTTCCAGAATGGCTGCACCAGCTTGCATTCCCACCAACAGTGTAAGAAGGTTCCCCTTTCTCCACATCCTCGCCAACATCGGTCTTTTCCTGACTTGTTAATTTTAGCCATTCTGACTGGTGTGAGGTGGTTTTTGTTTATGTTTTTTACTTGTATTTCCCTGATGCCAAGTGATGTTGAGCACTTTTTCATGTGTCTGTTGGCCATCTGGATGTCTTCTTTGGAGAAATATCTGTTCATGTCTTCTGCCCATTTCTTGGCTAAATTTTTTTGTTTTCTGGGTGTTGAGTTTGATAAGTTCTTTATAGATTTTGGATACTAGCCCTTTATCTGATAAGACATTTGCAAATATCTTCTTCTGCTTCTGCTTCTTCTGCTTCTTTTAGTTTTGTTGACTGTTTCCTTTGCTGTGCAAGAGCTTTTTATCTTGAAATCCCAATAGTTTATTCTCGCTTTTGTTTCCCTTGTCTTTGGAGATGTGTCTAGCAAGAAGTTGCTGCAGCCAAGGTCACAGAAGTTGCTGCCTGTTTTCTCCTCTAAGATTTTGATGGATTCCTCTCTCATATTAAGGTCTTTCATCCATTTTATTTTTGTGTGTAGTGTAAGGAAATGGTCCAGTTTCATTCTGCATGTGACTGTCCAATTTTCCAACCATCACTTGTTGAAGAGACTTTTTTCCATTGGATATTCTTTCCTCCTCTGACAAAGATTAGTTGACCGTAGAGTTGAGGGTCCATTTCTGGGATCTCTGTTCGGTTCCATTGATCTATGTGTCTGTTTTTGTGCCAGAACCATACTGTCTTGATGATGACAGCTTTGTAATACAGCTTAAGGCCTGGAATTGTGATGCCTCCAGTTCTGGGTGGTTTTTTTGGTGTGTGGGTTTTTGTTTTTTTTTCCTGGTGGTTTTTTTTTCCCCCAGTGTTCCTTTAGCTATTTGGGGTCTTTTGTGGTTCCATACAAATTTTAGGGCTGTTTGTTCCAGCTCTGTGAAAAATGCTGATGGTACTCTGACAGGGATTGCACTGGATGTGTACACTGCATCGGGTAGCACAGACATTTTAACAATAGTTGTTCTTCCAGTCTGTGAGCATGGAATGTTTTTCCATTTCTATATGTCTTCCTCAATTTCTTTCGTAAGTGTTCTGTTTTTCAGAGCACAGAGCCTTTACCTCTCTGGTTAGGTTTTCCCAAGCATCTTCTGGTTTTTGGAGCAGTTGTAAATGGGATCAGTTCCTTGATTTCTCTTGCTGCTGCTTTGTTGTTAGTGTAGACATGCAGCTGACTTCTGTGCGTTGATTTTATATCCTGCAACTCTGCTGAATTCCTGTATCAGTTCTAGCAGTTTTTTGGCCGAGTCATTTGGGTTTTCTACATAGAGTATCATATCATCTGAGAAGAGTAAAAGTTTGATTTCTTCTTTGCCAAATTAGATGCCTTTTATTTCTTCTGTTGTCTGATTGCTGAGGCGAGGACTTCTAGTGGAGACTTCTAGTGAGAGGATCATACGGTTCTCATCCTTCCTTTATTAATGTGGTGTGTCACATTGATTGATTTGCAGATGTTGAACCAACCTTGCAGCTCGGGAATAAATCCCACCTGGTCGTGGTGAATAACCCTTTTAATGTACTGTTGGATCCTATTGGCTAGCATCTTGGTAAGAATTTTTGCATCTGTGTTCATTAGGGATAGTGGACTGTGACTGTCCTTTTTAGTGGGGTCTTTGGTTTTGGGATCAAGGTAATGCTGGCTTCATAGAATGAGTTTGGAAGGTTCCCTTCCATTTCTGTTTTTTGAAACAGTTTCAGAAGAACAGGTATTAATTCTTCTTTAAGTGAATTCCCCTGGGAAGCCATCTGACCCTGGACTCTTATTTGTTGGAAGGTTTTTGATTACTGATTCAATTTTGTTGCTGGTTATGGGTCTCTTCAGGTTTTCTCTTTCTTCATGTTTCAGTTTTGGTAGTTTATGTTTCTAGGAATATATCCATTTCTTCCAGATTGTCTCATTTGTTGGCATATAATTGTTCATCATATTCTCTTATAATTGTTTGTATTTCTGGTGTTGGTTGTGATCTCTCCTTAGCACAATTTAACCATTTGTCCTTTTTAAACTAGAGTTGCTAAAAATTTCCTGCATCCTTAACAAGAAGGAAAGGGTATATATGTCCATATATGTTTAAAAATTTAAGTGTATCAGAAATGTTCATGTTAAATGAAAATATTATAACTAGTTTATTTTTTAAGTAATCTCTACACCCATTGTGGGGCTCATACTCACAACCCTGAGCTCGAGTCACACACGCCTTTGACTGAGCCAGCCAGACACCCCTGTTATGTTTTAAATTTTGAAGGCACTTACTTCAAAGAAATGTAGAGCACTTTATGTTTGTTGTATATCTAGTATTTTGAATTATCTTGATTGTTTCTACCTGCTGAATTGTGGGACTCTGCATTGGTTATGAAGTAACTTTTCTTGTCTTATATATGTTAACATTTGTAAATAAGAAGTTTTCTTATTTTCAGGTACAGATTTATGAATTAGAAGAACATAAGATTGAAACATGGAGGGGTAAGCACAATTGGGTGTTAATCTTTTAATATCAGGAAAAAATGTTCTGCTTAGTGTGTAAAACATGTTTTAATTTAATGGATCTTTATCTCTCTGTTTAATGAACTACATCATTAAAACAGGTCTGTTTTAATCTCACTGGTGAACCATACCATTATAAATACGATCCACTCTGTTGAGCGAACATGTGTGGAGAACCTACCTTAGTCTGTATACTAAGGCTGGGACACAAGGACAAATGAGCTCACTCAGGCCCCAGCCACTGCTCCCAGCAGAGTCCCCACTTACTTCTGAGTGTGGCCGTCCTTGCCCGCAGACTTATCTCTATCTAGAAAATGCACCAGGGGAATGCCTCCTACCACTAACAAAAGCAAAGATCTGTTCTTACATTTAATAATTATTTCTTTACAAATTATGGAGAAACATAGAGCAAATGAACCTTGAACTGGAAGATTTTGGTAAATCACATGAAAAAATAACCCTTTAAAAGCACAGTATCTTTTCTGAAATGGAGCTGTTTTTTAAATTCTCATTCTATGACTGTGTGACTGTTCTTTAGACCCATCCTGCTGGATTGGATGGGTGGGAATGACTGAGGAAGGCGGTCTGACCAACACCGACGAGGGGCTTTGTAGGAAGTCTCAGAGAAAAGCCTGTATAGAAACGGAGGGACCTGTAGACAGAAAAATGTTAATTAAAAATTGAAAATCTGCTTGGAATTATAAGTAACCTTTGTGAGTAGCAGCTGCAGAATCTGAGGGTCCATTGGAATCTCTTGAGGGCCAGGGGCTCTTCTAACTCCCTCTGACCTGTAAGTTTCGTTGAATGAGATATTTGATTTGTAAGGCTTTATCAAGTCAAACCAAACAAACTCAGTCAACATGAAATCTGTATCTTACCGCACTGCCTATTATGAATATGTACCTTAACGCCAAGAGAGATACTTCCTCTTAAATTCTACTATACAAGTAATGTTAGACCAAGATTTAAGCATATTTACAATTTGATATTACATGGTATTTGGTGGTATAATGGTAATGTCAGGATACTCTTGAATGCTTTCTGTAAAGAAATCTCAGCAAGGCAAATTAGTTACGGTGGATCTTCAGAAAGAATTTCTATAGACTACAAAGATCCCCCAAGATACAGATTCTGAGCATTAGCCTGGTAAAATAAAACTTAACATTTAAAGAACAAAGTTTGTTAAAACCTACAAAAACTAGTTAAAGGATTTCACGAGCGCTTGTCTCTGGAGGGTGATAATTTGGTAGCATTCTAGTGACCTCTGCTGGTTCTGTTTTTTACATCCAATTGCTTGACTTTTCTTCTTATAACATTTATTGTAATACTGTTTTTAAATATTTAATTTTTCCACAATGGCAACATCCTAAAATGGTTTTTAAGTTGTTTAAAGTAGTCCTAACTATAATTTATACAGTAGTGTTTGGTACATTAGATTTATTTGATTTTGGTTTTTAATCCTTCTAATTGTTATCTATAAACTGAAGAGTAATTTACATAATAATTGCAAGTACCAAATGTGTTACTAATTGCATATTTTCTTTCCATAAAAACAGAGCTTTATTTACAAGAAACATTTAAGCCTTTAGTGAATATATCTCCAGACGCAAGGTAAACCTGTAAAGTTTTTTCTCCTTTGAAAACATTCATTCAGATTCTTGTTTCCGTGATTGATAGATTTTTTTTAAATCTAGATAGGGGACAGCCTCCTTTATTTCAAATACTCAATTTAATAAATCTAGAGACAGTAGGAATCAGCTTAATTGTTCAAAGGATTGATAAGGGACCGGGAAGATGGTCATACTAAGCAGTTTTAAAATCCTGGTCACCTGCCACACAAACCGTCTGGGGAGCTTGTTAATACTTACTGCTCATCCCTGGGCTCTGACCTGCTCCGTGGCCTCTGGAGGGTCGTGCCCAGGAACGTGCACTACAGCAGCTGCCCCTGGGGGCTCTCATGCGCCCTGACATTGCAGGGCCACCTCCGTTAGACACTGGTCCGGGGGCACTCGGAAGAACATGCGGTCCCTCAGCGGCGCTCTGGCACAGACGTCGTGACACGGGTCTTCTGGGACGGCTCGGACACATTTCCACATCGCATGAAAATACTCTTCTAACTCTAGGCACTAGAGAGAAAAAGTAGATACTGATTTTTCTTAGTTTATTTCCAAGTCCTAAACATACAGCTAAACGCCCAGTCTCCTGATTGGCAGCCCCAGGAGGGGCCAGGACAGCCCAGAAGCGGGGTGCACTGAGTCGGCTCCGGTGCGGGGCCACAGCTCCCCGTCGCTGCTGGTGGCCATGTGCGGTCCCCGGGTTCTCTGCCGCCGTCTGTCGCACAGCAGCATTAAACGCACTAGAAACGGCTCTCCTCGAGCTCCACAGCTCGCACTTGTACCCACGATCAATACAGACCGCAAAAGCAGAACATTTGCTGAGATACCCAGTTTAGAACTTTCCCAAAACTGCTTCAAGTCAAGTCAGCCTTTTGTGGCTATGATGTAGAAACACTGAAAATGCTTCTAAAGCAGGGGTGGTCCAGAGCGTTTTACCTCCTTCTTTAAAGCCTCCTAACAACTTTGACGGCTTTTCCCGCAGCCTCTTCGACGCTGTGTACTCGTTGATCAAAAATAAAATCCACAGACTGCCGGTTATCGACCCCGTCAGTGGGAACGCACTTTATATTCTCACCCACAAGAGAATCCTCAAGTTCCTCCAGCTCTTTGTAAGTAGTCCTGGTGTTTCTAAAGACGCGGTTGCACCCGCTTTACCTGGTTTACTTCACGTAAATTGGCTCCCGTCACCTCAGGAGACGACGTTAATTCTGGAGTTGGGATTAGTAGGAGGTCTCCATTCCTCAGCGGCGGCTTCTCAACTTACTCATGTTTAAATTGTACGTTCTTCAGGCTGATTCCAATTAAAAAGCAATTGCCTTTCGGGGCAAGTATCAAAATAATAAAAACACTTGGAATTCTCTATTTAAATTAGAATATTTTATCACCTAAAATATGAGGGCAGTAAAGCAATTTGCAACCCGTCTAATTAAGAAAGTGCTATTATGTAAGATAAATTGATCTGGTATTTATAGCAAATTGCCTTGTGATGCTTTATTGGTATCATGGTTTTGGAAACATTCAAAAAACACTGTCCCCAGGATTATCTTACTATAAATTGTTGCAATAGAAGAACACAAGTAGATAAAAATTTCGTCACGAGAGTACCATGTTGGTCCAAATTTGGGCTTTGTTTTCTGTAGGTTTTCTCAACTGCGTTTGGAATGAGAGGTCTTCATAATCATCCATGATATTGACCTCTTTGGTCAGTTTTAAAAGAGGCTCATAAGGACCAGAGTTTTTACAAGAGGCTTGAATTTGTTTCCTTTGGATTATATGCACTGAGTTTGAGGTTAGAAGTAGTTGGTCAGGGGCGCCTCGGTGGCTCAGTTGGCTAAGTGTCTGCCTTCAGCTCAGATCATGATCTTAGGGTCCTGGGATCGAGCCCCACATCAGGCTCTCTGCTCAGCGGGAAGTCTCCTTCTTTGCCTCTCTCTCTCTCTCTCTCTTCTACTCTCACTCTCTCAAACAAATCTTTAAAGAAAATTTTTAAAAAGTAGCAGTTGGCCCGCTGTGACCAGTAGGCCTCATTCCTATTTCAGAAGAGATCACACGAATTCATTTTTTTTCTAAGAGTTTATTTGTTGTAGAGACAGAGGGAGAAGGGAGAGTCCTGAGCAGGCTCCATGCTGCACTCAGAGCACAACACAGGGCCCCATCTCACACCCTTGAGATCAGATTCTGAGCCAGAATCCCAGGTTAGATGCTTAACCAACTGAGCTGCCCAGTGGCCCCGTGAAATCATTTTTCAAAAGAATATAATAGACTTTGAAAATCTACATCACATTAGCTTTCCCGTCCCCTTCTACACACAGCTGCAATTAAGGAAACTCGAATTCTGGGTGACGCTCCGCAGCCACTGTCCTTCCTCCCAGAGCTCGGCCTCAGTTTTGCAGACAGAAGCACATGGTGGAGGGGGGCGGTTAGTAATTGGGAGAAATCCCTTGTCCATCAAGCCAGTCCTGCATTTTAGCAGTTTACCTATAAAACTAACACTCTCCATGGTTAAATAAATGCTAAGAAAGAAGGTAGGAAGTTTACTGAAAGGCACACAGTTTAGTGGAGAGACCATGTCGGGGACAGTTAGGGACGTGCAGAGATGGCTGGACAGATGTCACCTGTGTCGTCCACTGCTCAGGCGGCCGCCTCAGCGTCTAGGTCGAAGGGGACCGAGGCTGGGGCCGTGTATTCAGGGCGCGCAGGCTTTTAGTCCCTCGGAGAATAAGCCTTGTACAATAATGGTAATCGCCCGAGCTGTGTACTCAGGTATGTGTGACGTGTCAGCTACTGTCCTAAGCACACCGCGAGACACAGCTAGTCCTCGTCTCTGCCCTCCCAGGTAGGTATTTTGATTAGCCCCCTTTTAGAGGTGGTGCAGCTGCGAGGTGGAGTGACTTTGCAGGTTCCCGCGGGCCGGCGGCCTCCCTCCCTCCAGCCCTGTGGGCAGGCCGTGTGGTAGCTCCTCGGCTCAGAGGCGCCCGGCTCAATGGGTTAAAGCTGCCCCAGGTCTCCCAGAGGTTACGAGGTCGAGTCCAGCCCATTTTGACAGCCGCGCTCCTGCGGACACGAGGAGGAACAGCTGGAGGCGGGCCTTGGTGTTCTCTCTTCCACGAAGAGTAGAGGAGGTTGCCTCCGCCAGTACTGCCTTGCATTTGGGCCAATATGGTAATTAAGTCATGCTCTTAGAATATTCAACTAGAGGTCTTCAGATTAAAATACTGAATTTTAAATAAATTTCAGACCCTGATTTTTACTGAATTGAGATCATTTTCTGAGAAAAGGTGGCCTTACCCTTGGAGACATGTGACCGTTAGCCTAAGCGTACAATATGGAACAGGGGTTTTCCTGCATCGAGATGGGCTAGATGACCTAATAGGTCTTTCTTTTTTTTCTCCAAATTTCTAGGATTCTCATGATTTGAATATTGATGAACTCTTTGACTTGAACATTTTGTTTCTTCTAATTGTTCATCTTTTCCTGATAATTATAAGGTACACCAGGAGGACGGAATCAACTGTGCCCTTTACACAAGGTGGATTTTTGAAACCATAGACCTTATTTTGTTTTAGTCCAACATGACCCTAGACTTCTCTCTTCTGCCTTCTCCCTCCTCCTCTAAAACAGCCCATGAAAAGAAAAGTGAACTTTTAAAGGTTCTTCTAATTCTGCTCAGTTGGCTTGTTCTTTGCTCCCAGTAATCACGAGTCGGAGTCCTCCGCGGGAGAGTTCAGGATGTAGGGTGGGGATGGGGTGAGGGCTAGCCTAGTCACAGCTCAGACTGCTCCCATCAGACGCTCTGGGTTTGGAAATGTATGGGTTCTTCATAAGTAATACTTAATGCTGATGGCAGGACCAGGAATTTAACCTAACTGAGAATAAAGGATTTTCGGGTGGCTGTGGGTCTTGATTTCCAAAGAGACTTCATGTTCCCGCTTCCATCCACGTTTTCAGTGAGTGAGGGGAAGGGGAACATTACAATCTGTGTTTTCTGGAGTATTTTACTAAGTAGTTAAATGTAAGCTTAGAATAGAAACCGGTTTGAACAAAAACTACAATTATACGTAATACTTCATGTTAATTCAGAGAGCCAGGTAGATAGGTAGAGAACACTAACTTTAATTTGTTATACATCGTTTTCGTCCAAGTGTGGACATGTGAACATTACAAAGGTCTGTTTGGGCTCTAGACCATCTGTATTTATCTTCCTGTTTAGATGTCTGATATGCCAAAGCCTGCCTTCATGAAGCAGAACCTGGATGCCCTTGGAATTGGGACCTACCACAACATCGCCTTCATCCACCCGGACACTCCCATCATCAAAGCCTTGAACGTCTTTGTAGAAAGACGAGTGTCGGCCTTGCCTGTGGTAGATGAGTCAGGTCTGTGTTTGGTCATACCAGGGCCTTGAAGACCACGCTTTGTCCCCTGGGGGCAAACTGACAGTTAAATGGTCAGCGGATCAGATCCGGTGGGTGGCAGCCACGGCTTGGGGCTAAAAATTTAGATATGGCGGATCAAGTCAGCACCAAGGAGCACTCAGCTTGATGAGAATTCTAACTGGCTTATTTTCACATTTTCCATTAAGATGTGATTTCATGCTCATTTAAAATTAGACAAGCTTGTTATTTAGCAATATTTAATTGCTAGTAAGTACCTGGTTAAGATGGATTTTAAATGTCATCTTTTTGTTTCTAAGACATTTTTCTAACATCTGTTCTCATTTTTAGGAAAAGTCGTGGATATTTATTCCAAATTTGATGTAATTGTAAGTATTTTTAATTTTGTCACACCTGTCATCTAGAATGCATTTAAAACCTATTCACTAATCTGTTTGCATTTTTCCCTAATTTAATAGCTTTTGTGGCTGTGCGGATTGGAGGATTCCGTAGACCACCAACAGTCGTTGTACCTGACACTCACTGGCTTAGCAGTGAATAACATATTAGCATTTTAGAGATTATTTTTTCGGTCTGTGGATAGTTTCTCCGGCACTACAGCATGTGTGAATATTTTAAATGGTCCTATTTCCATGCATGAGCCATCATTCATTCTGTCAGGAGGCCAGTGCTTCATGCACACAGGAACATGTGGGTCCCTTGCTAGATACATCCCATTGTTTGCTGGTGGGAACAAAAAGACAGCAAAAGCATTCAGGAGATGATTTAAAGTCCTAGTTTTTAATCCCTGGTATAAATCTATTAGAGGTGGTGCCACATCTTCCCACAGGCTGCTTTCTTTTCCCTATTCATTTAAAAGGCACTTCCTTAGGGTTTTATGGTATTTTTAAAAAAGGGAGCTGAAACTCTGGTAGCCCCAAACGTGCTCATCATTTTTGGCCCTAATGTTGATCCCGGCATTAAATATTTCTTCGCAGCCGGCTGTCTCAAACACTTTTGTTTCATTTATTCTGCTTAACAATAGCAGACTTCCAAAAACAGGCTGATTGGAGTTTGGTTGCGTAGGACTGTCTAAGGCTAAAGCCACGTGGGTCTGTTGGGCCTGCCTGGCCTGCTCTTCCCCCACGACTGCTCGATCCCGGTGGCTCCCTCAGCGCCCTCCTGGGTGCCCTGGGGCACTTCTCACCCTTTAGCATGTCTCCAAAGACTTTGTTCACTCGCTCAGGCTCTAGAGCCTTACACAGTAAGAGTGGGGGGAGTTCTTCCGTATTTAAGAGTGGGGGGAATCCTCTGTAGGAAATGCCGTCACTATTTCACAAGGTTGCTGCAGGTAACGGAACAGGAATGTTTCTGAAAATCACATCACTTGACACTGACTTTGGTCACAAATGTGAATCGAAATGAAAGGATGTAATTCGTTACTTCATTACAGAACCTTGCTGCTGAAAAAACCTACAATAACCTAGATATCACGGTGACCCAGGCCCTCCAGCACCGCTCTCAGTATTTCGAGGGAGTCGTGAAGTGCAGTAAGCTGGAAATCCTGGAGACCATCGTGGACAGAATAGTGCGGGCTGAGGTGAGGCAGCAGGGCCGCGCTCCTCCCACTCTCTCGGCCTCCCCACTCCTGCCCCAGCTTTGCTGCCCCAAGTACTCACTGGCCAGGGGGCCATGGGGACCGGGGATCGTGAATCACAGGAACGCCCGGAGAAGCAGAGTCAGGGTCAAGCGGATATCATGCTTTCCCTCTCCAGAACCTCGCGTGTTGCCTGCCGCGTAGGTCATCTGGAAATGTTCATTGAATTAAATTGTTAAGTCCTGATATCATAGTTGAATCAAACCGGTAAGAGACTTTCATGGTTTAAAAAATACATAATTAAGAAAACAAATGTCCCAAGAGCTTTAAGTTCCGTTAGGGTATTTATGAAGTTGAAGTTAAAAATGTGTGATTATATAGTTTCAACAAAGTGAAGGAGAAATCAAAATTATCTTTCGAATTTTTTAATTTTCTCTTTCCAATTTGGATGATAGTAGACGGTCTAATAACGTCACTTCCTGACCCTCAGCACTCATGAGCCCTCATACTTGACTGCGGGTAGGATTTTGGATGTACTCAGTTAAAGATGAGCAACGAATAACACATCTAATTCAATATACCCACTCCCCAAATCATTTCTTTCCTTTCTTATTAGACAAGGGTAGGAATGTTCTCCCGTGTATCACCCTCTGGGACTGAAGGAAGCAGCAGTGTTCTTTCTGGAACAATCTCTGAGTCGGCAGAATCCATTTATAATGATATGTCTGCTCTGGTACTTTTTATTGTAACTATGAGAATGCAGTCCAAGAGGGAAAGTCGCTGATAATTTTTTAGGCTAACAGGCAATCTTAACATTACATTTGAAGTAGGGGTCGCACGAGAACACAGCCTACCTTGCCGGAGCCGTCAGAAACACAGCCCTGTTTTTATCATTGTGTGCTGCAGACTTCCACCTTGCCCTGTGCTCACCTGGGGGGAGACCCCTACCCCCTGTTACCACTGCTGTGGCTTCTGAAACGTATTTCACTAGCATCTCAATATGAACTCTATTTCTGTTTGAATCTTAATATCCATCCCTCTTGTTTTCCAAAGAGTTTTCATTGACTTAGGAATACATCTTAACCTTTAATAAGGTCCTTAGAATTATGGGCCTTTCAAAGATCATAGGTAGTGATCCTAATTATTTATAAGGACAATGGACATCCACATGAGAGAATCCCTCATAACAGTGAAAAATGTTCTCGAAGAGTATTTGGTTGATACGAAAAAGACATAGTAATGTATTGCTAAGAGAAAAAGCCAGTTACTGGCTTTTGATTCTATTCATTTATATGCACATATATGTGTAGAAGAGAGGCTAGAAGGCCCCACAGCACAGCACTGACTGGCTCTTTCTGGGTGGCGGAGTTCCAGTAAACACGGAGAGCGCAGTGCTTCTCCGCTCTGAGCTCTCTTGTTCGAGCATGTATTACTCTCAGGTAAAAGAAGAAAGGTAATGGGCTTGTCCTCTCAGGTCATCTGGCATGCAATAGATATTTCTTCGTAATAGGAAATGGGCCACTGAGGGAAATAAAGATGTAATTCAGTACTTTTCTCATTATGCATCTTGACTTTTTACCCCACTGAAATCATTTCTTTCACCCAAGGACTCTTAACTGGGGAACCAAGGCCAATTTTAGCTTAAATACAGTTGTTGGAGAAAAGGCACACAGTATCAGCAATGGTTTGGTCTATTGACAGGATGTAAATGCCGCACCAGCTTCCTGACACCCAGGAATATTCACAGATTTAGACTCAGCAGCAAATGACGAGATAATGTTTTTGATGGTCATTTCCGCCTGGTAGAATTAATTCTCTGGGTGAGATGGCCACCCCTTGACCTTCAGAAGTTCAAAAGAGAGTTATTTAAATAGCATTATTGAATGTTAATAAAACGTCTCGCACAGACTGTAAAGCATTCTTTGATCCTAGGCACAAGCCATTATTTTAATTTATAAGTAACTGCGTTGTATCACAGGATTATTGAAGACCCTAAGCTTTTTTTAGAGAAATTTTTGAAGTTTAAGTAATCTCTACACTCAAATGGGGCTCTGACTCAGGACCCTGAGATTAAGAGTCGCACACACTTCTGAGCCAGCCAGACTCCCCTAGAGAAACTTTTAAAAGTCATGAGAACAAAGTGATTATTTTTGAAATCCAAAGCAAGTGAAGATGTTGACAGCATCCCCAACACAGTATCAGAGACAAATCTAAAAACAAAATTTCCTCCCCTTTCCATCTCCTTCCTATGCCCCCCACGGTGTGTGGTGGGGTGGGGGACCGCTCTAAGGAGAAGAGCATCGTCTCCAAGGAAACCAGCAGGCACGTGGCTGCCTCAGGCCTAGGAAGCCAGAGCCGCTCCAGGAAGTGCGATGCCTGCTCACTCCTTTCCTGTGTTCAGGAGAATTTGTTAAAACGACCCCTCACAACCCGGGCCACTCGCTTAGAAAAGACCCGAGTAGAACGTGGGGTGTGAATATACTCTCTTTCACGTTATTAGAGTTCCTTTATCCTCTGAGCTATATGAACATACTAATACATGAACTTCCTGGAGAAAAGACTATAGACAATGAACCACGACCTCTTCGTCTGGCACGTGCTTGGACGTCTTTCCCATGTAAGTCAGTAGCAGCTAGTTCTTAGAGACTGAAATACTACTTTAAAAATGTAAAAACTGGGGCGCCTGGGTGGCTCAGTGGGTTAAAGCCTCTGCTTTCGGCTCAGGTCATGATCACAGAGTCCTGGGGTCGAGTCCCGCATCGGGCTCTCTGCTCAGCAGGAGGCCTGCTTCTCTTCCTCTCTCTCTGTCTGCCTCTCTGCCTACTTGTGATCTCTATCTGTCAAATAAATAAATAAAATCTTTAAAAAAAAATGTAAAAACTTACGTTTAAGAGAGTATTATGGCTACACTGTACTTCACGTTTTGGGTTGTATCATATATATATTAATATTCCAGAATTTGAGCACAGCGGGACACAGCTAGTGAGTTTTTCCTACAAGTCGTTGAAGTCAGCATCGATCTTAACTTGAGAGCCTAAGACCTTTTGTGGTTCTGGACATGGTTTCTGTCTCTTACTTCTGGGATGTCTTCCTTGTTTAATATATGAAAGACGTTATTTGCTAATAGCCGTCATAGAACCTTCTGTGAACTCTGACACGGGAGCTGCTTGTCCCGTTGGCAGGTGCATCGGCTGGTGGTAGTGAATGAAGCAGACAGCATCGTGGGCATCATCTCGCTGTCGGACATTCTGCAGGCCCTGATCCTCACGCCCGCAGGTACGCGCGCCGGCCGCGGGCCCTTCCCTCTGCGCGGGGCCGAGCCGGGAGCGGCTGCTTCTCCGGCACCCGGGCCTCTGTAACCCGTGGTCACTTGTGTGGTTTTCCTTCGTAGTTTTACTGCTCCAGTTGGGTGAAAGAGAATAGTTTCTAGAAAGTATTCTTAGGAGCATCCTGTCCACGACCACAGCGCCTGAATAGTTGAGCATTCGTTGCCAGATTCATCACCATTAAAAAGCTAAGATCTCTTCAGTTTTGCTTTATTTTTAGGACTATTTCTAGAAAACATAGGAGGGGAAATGCATTGGGTTCTAACTATTGAGACCGTTAACTCCCCTTAAAAAAAAAAAACTTACTAGTGTTTTGAGTATATAAAACAGAAGACCCGGGGGCGCCTGGGTGGCTCAGTGGGTTAAGGCCTCTGCCTTCGGCTCGGGTCATGATCCCAGGGTCCTGGGATCGAGCCCCACATCAGGCTCTCTGCTCAGTGGGGAGCCTGCTTCCTCCTCTCTCTGCCTGATCTCTGCCTGCTTGTGATCTGTCAGGTAAATAAATAAAATCTTAAAGAAAAAAAAAAAAAGACCCGAACACAAACTCTTCCGTTAGTAGTGTATGGGAAATTACATTAACTAACAAACAGCATTGGTGGCTAACCTCATTTTCTGCCAGGTCAACTCTGAGCAAGCCCTCAGGCCAGTGTCAGCGAGCAGGCTGGCAGAGGGGTGGAAGGCTTGGTGTCTCCTGTGTGCCATGTTTAATAGTGACAGGTGCCTGAAGGGTCCTAAAACTGCCGGCCTGCTCTTTCTCCTCTCTGTCCCTCCCCTCCCCTCCCATGGGAAGTTCAAGCAGCCCCGCCGTGGGCCGGACTGAGCTGTGCCAGGACAGGCCGAGACCGCAGAGGGAGTCACCTCTGAGAGTCTGAAGTGTACATCAAACGTCAAAGTGCACGTACCAGAGTACTGATTTCTCCTGAGTTCAGAAACCAAACTAGCTGAGACGAGGTTTCAGTTGGCTTATAACCTAAAGATGCCCGTCCTAAAGGGATCCCTGGCACCAGTGGGACTGACTTCTGGTCCACAGCGTGAGAGCAAGGACACAATGCCGACAGAGCAGCAGCGCCTGGAGGCTGTCGCCGAATCTGAAACTCTAGCAGCGGGGCCAAGGACACTCATTTCCAGTGTCAGCTGTTAGGGAATCTGAAACTCACGGTAGTCTTCATAATCATGAAATAGTGATAAAACGACTCCGTGAATATGAGACTGTTGACAGCATCATTTATATTAACCCCAAACCGGAAATAACCCTGACACCTGACAGCAGCACCAGGCTGCATGGCGTGCGTTCTGCAGAATGCCCCACAGCACTGACCGTGACCGCACATCGCTGTGTTTGATCTCACACATGTGACCTCAAGCAGAGGAGCGAGGCCGTCCAGGGAGTGCGATGCCACTCGCCTGCAGCTTCCACGGCTCCCTCGTGCGCAGCGGGAGAAGGCCCTCGAGAGCACAGTCCTCCTTGCAGGCACGTAACTTGGCACCTTCAGAAAAAGGCAGCCCTCTTCCAGACAGCGGCCCTGGGCCGAGGCATACATGTGCCCGGCAGCGTCGGGGTGAATTTCTCTGTCCTGTGGCCAAGATTCCCCGTGCCTTGCAAAATCAAGAGCAGACAAGCCAAGATCTCGGTCTCTATGCCTAGTGTCACAGGCCGTAGGAATGAGAATGTGGGCTGGGGTGCCTGGCTGGCTCAGTCAGTGGAGCATCTGACTCCTGATCTCAGGGTTGTGAGTTCAAGCCCCACATCCGTATAGAGATTACTTTAAATTTTTTTTTATTTTAAAGTTTTTTAAATAAGTTTTTTAAGTTTAACTTTTTAAATAAAATTGAGATTGTTGGGCTGGATGAGTTTACATTTCCATCCATGTTTGATATTTTAAAACAGATTCTAAGTCCCTAATAGGGTTCTGTGGGGAGGATCCCTGTTCCACAGCCAGAATTTGAAATGTACGTTACCATAGAAATAACGTTCTAAAGATAGTAGTCGAATTAGCATTCTCTACAATGTAGTATGTAGAACACTATTTAGGAAAATGCTCCGTGTTCCTAATAACTGGATTACGAGTGAACATTTGGAGAACTCTCCTGGAGCCCGGGGCTGGCCCGCTTCAGATCAGCAGCCCTTGAGACGCTCAGACACGTGAGGGCCGGCGTCATTAAGCTTCAGAGGAGTCCAGCCCAGTTTGCCTGGTGCCCCTCAGGCCCTTGGAGCTGCCTGAGTGGGTGCAGCTGCTCAGCTCAGTTAGCCTCTGTCCAGCCAGTTGTAGAGCAAGGAGGTGAACACAGGCCCTGCATCCTCCAAGGACACTCTTGAGTTGAAACCAAAACATGCACGGAGCCATTTGTGCACGACAAGGTGCACCGTACCCAGGAGCCACGCTGCTGGGTGGGTGTCCACGGACTAGAAAGTAAGAGGCACTTTTAGAAAGTGTCCACTGTAAACATGAATAAAAGGTACCAGAGGTTATATATTTCAACAGCTGATGGACACAGTCCCCCATGAAGGATACCAATTCGCTGTCCTAAGTTTCTTTAGCAGCAGCTCCTTGTGAAACTCAGACTGTCCAAAGAGTGAGTGCCAGATCTGAGAGCAGGGGCGACAGCTTGTTAGCCCCTTGTTCTCATAGACGGTGAATCTCTTTCAAAAGTCGTCTCGTGCCTGAAGCTGAAACAGGAGCTGCTGAGACGAGGAGAGGGGTAGCACTCCTGCTACCCACTTGGAAATATGCCAGCCAGACCGTAGGTGTTACAAGCAAATATCTGTAAACACAGCATGGTTTTAAAACATTTCCATGAGTACGTACAGGCACACTTCAGAGACTATGGGTTCAGTTCCAGACCCCTGCAGGAAAGCAAAGCAGGTCCAGAATTTTAAAAATGACAACATGACAACGTACATGCCGTCACTGAAAAAGACTTTATTGCTAAAACGAGCGACCCAACATCTAAGCTATCAGTGGGTCGGACTTTCTGCAGGTGGCGGGTCTCCGCGGCGCTGCCGGCTGCTGACCCGTCGGGGTGCTGGGCGCTGGAGGCCCGCGGGGCCCTGCGGTTTGTCGCACCGATGGCCCTTCTGTCCCGAACGGTTGCTCGGTGGCAGGCGGTGCCGCCCGATGGCGTTTAGCCCACGGAACCGCCTTCGGAACTGGAGTCCGTCCCCTCGAGCCCTGCCGCCGCTTCATCCGCGCGGCTCCGGCGTGTTCTGATCCCTCCGTCGTGGCTCCCACCGGCAGCTCAGGACGCCCCTCGCTCTGCTCGTCCCGAGGACGCGCCTCCACGTGCCGTCCCGCCTGACCCTGCGCTCGCAGCAGCTGCGTCCCCTCCTCGGGCTCCGCTCCTGCTTCTGGTCTCTTGCTGCTTCCTTGTTGCATTTCCAGAGCCCAGGCAGAGCCGACTTGGCCTGGTTCTTAGGCGCCGCGGGGTCTCAGAGCGGTCACGGAGCACTGGCTTCAGCTCCAGGTCACCGGCCGCGTTGGCCCCTCGCGAGAGGGTCGCCTGCTGTGAAGCTCTGAAGCCGGGCGCTGCCTTCTCCTCTCGGGCTGAGAGTCCCAGCGGGCATCTTGCAAGAGAAGGCTGTTCCGGCTGCGCTGAAAACCTGTTGTTCAGGGCGGGCCCCGCATCGGTGATCTCCGCTCGATCGTCTGCAAACCTGGCCGCTTCGCCTTGCACTTGGGTGTTGCGGAGATGGCTTCCGTCCTGGAGCCTCCTGAACCCGCCCCGGCCGGCCGCAGACTTTCCTTCTGCAGGTCCTCACCTCCCCGCGGTCCCCGCACGGAGGAGAGTCCGGGCCTTGCTCTGGATTGGGCTTTGGCTTAAGGGAATGGGTGGCTGGTGTGGTCTCCTGTGCAGACCACTGCCACTGTCTCCAGGCCAACAGCAAGGCTGTTTCACTTTCTTATCATTCATGTGTTCACTGGAGTAGCACATTTTTTTTTTAAGTTTATTTGAGTAATCTACACCCAACTTGGGGCTCCAGCTAACGGCCCCAAGACCAAGGGTCGCATGCCCTTCTGACTGAGCCAGCCAGGTAACCCTGGAGTAACACTTTTAATTTTCTTCAAGAATTTTTCCTTTGCCTTGACAGCGTGGCTCACTGTTTGGTTAAAGAAGCCTGGCTTTCGACATGCCTTTCTCACACTAAGCTTAATCATTTCTAGCTTTTGATATAAAGTGAAAGATACATGACTGTTCCTTTCACTTGAACACTAAGGACAATTGTAGGGTTGTTAATTGGCCTGATTTCAGTATTGTTGTGTGTCAGGGACAAGGGAGGCTCGAGGAGAGGGAGAGAGAGATTGGGGAATGGCTGGTCAGTGGAGCAGTCAGAACACAGGCATTTATTAAGCTGCTTTCTTATGTGTGTGTGGTTCCTGAGGCCAGCAATTACAGTAGTGACGTCAGAGATCACTGAGGGGCGCCTGGGTGGCTCAGTTGGCTAGGCTCGGGTCATGATCTCATGGGTCCTGGGATCAGGTCCCACACTGGGCTCCGTGCTCAGCGGGGAGTTTGCTTCATAGATTCTCTTCCTCTGCCCCTCCCCTCCTTCAACCACCTCTTTCTCTCTCTCAAAATAAATAAATCTTAAAAAAAAAAAAAGTCACTGATCACAGATCACTGTAGCAGGTAAAATAATAAGAAACTTTGAAACGCAGTGAGAATTACAAGAATGTGACAGGGACGCAGAACAAATTCTGTTCGGCCGGCAGCACCAGTAGACTGGCCTGATGTAGGGTTGCCGCAGACCTTCAACGGCAAGAACAAATTCACGGGCAGAGTGCAGGGAAGCGAAGCACGAGGGAGGGGGCGTGCCTCCGGGGCAGCAGTACTGTGCAGCACCCTCACTAAAACACGTGTTCCTTCTTTTAAAAATTCTAGCAGTTCCACTGTTAGCACCGCTTCTCTCTTTTTCGAACTAAGTCTTGCATACTTAGACTTCTGACATGTAACACAGATTCGGGAGTGGGCTGCTGTGGCGGCAGATGGTCTGTGAGGCGCTTGGAGCCACCTGCTCATCTCCTGTCCCCGGCTCCCAACTTCTGGAACATTCTTCTAAGGCACTGCAGAATATGAGTGAAGACCACCAAGCCGGGGGTCAGGGGGGCGGGACCACTGCTCCTGTGTGTAAGACAGGCCCAGCTGCTGCATACCTTTCCTTTCCTTTGAGACTGTCATTTCTCCATCTACCAACAGGTGCCAAACAGAAGGAGGCGGAAGCAGAATGACCACTGTGAGTGGAGAAGCCCTTAGAGGAGAACCTGAACAGAGATTTTGGGTCACGCTTTGCTTCATGAACACTGACCGTGACAGAAGACAGTCAAATGGCTGAGAATGTATATCAGGGTTTAGTGATGGGTATTTTTTCCAGTGATACTGAAACTGAGCATAAGAAACAGAGTTTATGTGTTTGAAGATTCAGGCTTGCATTAAAAGACTGTTTTCAGACCTTTGTCTGAACAATTTCAAGTGCTGTATGTTATTAAAGTGCACTGTGTCCTGAAATTTTTCTTATTTTTAATTTCAAAGAATTCACTGGTCTGTAACAGGTAATACGACATAAGGCGAGTGCATGGCCTTTTCAGACCTAGTGCCTTATGTCAGAACACGCGTATGTCATCACTGCGGCCCATGGCGGCTGGAGCCACACGGTGCTGGGGCGCGAAAGTCTTTGGACCTTTACCAAATCAGTTTGTTTTCATTAGATTTGTCGAACAGTTGTAATTTGGATATAAATACTTTATAAAACTTTAATGACAGTTTTACGTTGAAGTGTCTGTTCTGAACTATAATGTAAACAAAACTGCTTTACAACAGCTTTATTTATTTCTACTTTCATGCGATTTTTTACACCTCGTGGTGGGGAAGCTTCACTGTACCCATTAAGAAACCATTGGTTGTTATTTTCAAATGGCAGATTTCTCATTTTGGTTTGGATCTGGAGGGGACAGGACTTCGGAAGGAGCCACTGCTAGGTTTTAAAAGCTGAAGTGTCTGAAAGCACGTGTGGAAACCTGCTCTGCTAGAATGGAAACAGGCAGCGGTTAGGAGGAAACAAAAGTGCCGGGAAGATGTCTATTTTTTTCTTGTGTATTGAAATGTAAAATCATGATGTTTGTATGACTGCTGATACGATTGTTTTTGTAAATTTTATTGTGGCATATACAGTATTGTCATATGGTCGAAAAGAAACACAGCGTTTCCTAATGTAAGTGCTCTGAAAATGTCGACACTGTATATATATATATGAGTATAGTTTGATTTTTTGTTTTGGGGTTTTTTTTTGGCAGATTGGAAAATTAAAATAAATCTTATTATCGACTGCTTTGTTAAGGAAGTTCTTTAAAATGCCATGTCTTTCAGCACATACGAAAAATCTACACGCAGTTTCCCCTTTAGCTCTCTCTCCCCAAATGAAGAACATGAATTCTCAAAGATCATCAGAAAGAAAAAACCCTCATGACTTGATTCACAAACGCTACCTCTCCGTTCTTAAACACAATATATTTAATGAGAAACTGACGGGCAGATTCCACGTGCCGAGCTGTCACTTTGTTCATCTCAGAGGCCAAGTACGAGAGCACATGTCTCTGTTTCCCTGTGGAAACAACTGCGGTCGCGACTCAGGTCAATGGTAATATTTGGGAGAAAGGGGAAAAGGCACAAAGCTCCTATGACACAGTTTTGGAAGCCAAAACCTCCGTTTTCAGCCCACCCCGGTCTGCAGGTGCACACAAGTGTGCACAGGCTGCACCACGCATGGACGTGTGACGCATATATATTCGGCTTTGGAACATAGTTCGGGGCCCTTCACAGAGACGTGTTAACACTGTCTCCTCCCACAGGCGCACTCCCATCCAGCAGCCTCCGGCCGAAGGGGAGGGCATGGGGCTGTGCAAACGTGCCCGGCCCCGCACGAGAGCTCGGGATACACCTGCAAGGGTCAGCTCCGCGCCTCAGCCGGAGAGGCACAGCCACCTACCGACAGGGGTCTGTTATCTCGGAGTCGTTTCCAGTAAGTGATAAAAGATCAGGTTCTGCTAAGTGTCCTCTCCGTGCCCTTCTAGAAAGAAGGAAGAGTGGCACTTGATCCAGATGAAGGAAGGATTCTAAGGGAAGAGCCTAGCTGACCTGAGAGAAACCACCTGGCACCGTTGCTGGATAAGCCTCCTCTTCCCAGGGAGGCTCACTGGCACCTGCTGGGTCCGCCCCCCATCCCCACATAGCCGTGTGCCAGCGCACACCACGGGGGAGCCCACGGCCCCCAAAGGCTTGTGAACAAATGAGAGATGAATATGAAAAGAGTGGATCAACACTAGCCACATCTGTTCCAGAAAAGGAGGACATCCGTCCTGTTTTATGTTCTAATCTCTAAGAAAAACTTAACAGATTTATTGAGCCAATGACATTCCTTAGATCCTCCTACAGAAACACTTGCATGAGCAGACAATCCTCTTAAACCACGAGTTCTCACCCAGGAGAGATGCTGGATCCTAGGGGACATGTGGCGAAGTGGAGACATTTTTGGTTGTCACCACAGCGGGGGGGGCGGGGGTACTACTGGCATCTGGGGGGCAGAGGCCACAGATGCTACATAGGGACGGCCCCCCCGACACAGGTGTCCAGCCCAAGATGCCAGGAAGGAAAGAGCCTTGACACGGCCCAAAACTTGTATAATGTGCCGCATATTTTGGTTACATTGGTTACTTCCTTACCAAGTCTGTCCGTCTTTGGGGAGGGAAAACTCGGCAGGCAGCCTTTCTGGGAAGGGAGACAATCAAAATACTCCACAGGTGGATTCCAGAGGATTTATTTCCAAAGCTCTTTCACCAAAAAGAGAATTTTGCTTCGCATCCTAGCACCCTCGGGAGATGATCCCAACCCACAGGGAGATGCTGGCAAAGTGAGTTTCACTTACAGACACGTGGCCTGATTTTATTTCTCGGACTTAACATGCTGCACACAATTTCCCTTAGACATTGACCGAAGTGAGGGCACAGGGGGTATGAGCACCACCTGGCTCTCAGAGGTATTGAAGATCCTTCCTATAGGAGGTCAGAGAAAAGCCAGGTACCTAGCTCCTTCTAGAATCTTCCATGCTGGAATACTGCTGACCTCCACCTCCAAAGAACCTCACAGATGGGAATCTGAAGACGATGAAACGCTGCTCTGACTTCAGGTATGGGCCTCCCCCTGGAAAGCCCGCATCGCAAGCACCTGCTCTGGTTTAACACCAGAGCCTGGGGGACCTACATCTGTCTGGTAGGTTGGAGATGCAGGACAGGCCTCACAGCTGCCCCCACCTGCCGATGTCAGGAGCTTCTGGCCCTCTCCCTCCTGCTCTGGCAACCAGTCACCCCCACAACAGTCCCAGAATGCAGGTAAACGCCGCCACGTGTCACTAGTGCTCCTTTGCCAGCCACCCCTCCCCCCGGGCCCAGGGAGGAGTGCTTCCACCCTCCTCCAGGTGCAGAGCCGATCCCTCGCAGCCCAGCGCACGTGCCTGGGGACAGGTCCCTGCCCTTCCTTCCTACCTCTTCCAAACTGTGCTGCGGAGGCCTGGGAGAAAGAAGAAATGGCCCGAAGCTACGCCCCAGGCTGCTTATGGCCACAGCCTCAGGTGTAAAGACCAAGGGACCCTCAAACTGCTCCCCACCAGGCCTGACAACTTCCTGGCCAGCACAGACCCAAGGAAGGGGAGCAACACCCTCCCCCACCCCAGACCACCTGCAGCAGGTGCACAGCCGGTGCCCTCCTTTCTTTGGCTTCCTGAGCTGTTGCGTCACCACCCTTCAGGCTGGAAGTCCTCCCCACGGCTGGCCAGGGGAACAGGGAGAGAGGGTCACACTCAGGAAACCTCAATCTGTATCGACAGCCCCCGGCCCCGAACTCCTGTCCAGCCAACGCCTCCACTGAAAGTCCCCCATGGGCGCCTCACGTGGGACTCGTCTTTGCACAGGAAGGGGCGATGCTGGCAACCTCTTCGAGCTTTTTCACCCTCCTCCTCTCCTTCCCTCCTTGAACAAACACCATGTAGTGGCAGCGTTTCTGATGGCCCCCGTGCGCTCAGACTGACCAGCCCAACAAGCAGACCCCCCCAATTTACATTCACCATGGCCGTTAAGTTGCATTTTTAAAACCAAAACCCTCATCATCTCAGGTGTCTGGGTGGCTCAGTGGTTAAGCATCTGCCTTTGGCTCAGGTCAGAATCCCAGGGTTCTGGGATCGAGTCCCACATCGGGCTCTCTGCTCAGCGGGGAGTCTGCTTCTCGCTTTCACTCTCCCTCTGCCCTGACCCCCAGCTCCTACTCTCCCTCTCTCAATTAAATGAATAAAATCTTTAAAAAAAAAAAAAAAAAACCAACCTCTCATACTCATCTCACTGCTCAGAAACCGCCACAGGCCCCACAGCAATGAAGACCAGGCCCCCCACCACCCTCTTGCTGAGCCTCGAACCCACATGCTCCCTGCTCTTCTCAAAGCACCAGGCCTTCCACACATGCCCACCGGCCTGAGCTGGTCCCATGTCCCTTCCCACCTGCAGACATTAAACTGCTCTCTCAAGGGCCAAATCAAAAGCCACCTGCACTGTGAGGGCTCCCAGGACTGTCCCCAGCTCACAGACAGATGCCTCCCTCCTCCGACTACCCCAAGCCACACTTCCGTTGGCCTGGTCCACCTGCCTCCCTCCTGGACAGCCGAGCGTGCCGCTGGAGGCCCCCTGGCACCTGGGGACGAAGATGAGCTGCTCAGCCCTGCCCTGGACACCAGGAAACTGTTGTAAAGCCCCTCCCTTGTCCTGGCCTGGCTTTTCCCTCTGGAAGGTATCGAGATGGACAAGAATGTGTGTGCGTGCATACTGTCATGGGCAGTAGGGCACTCCCTGAACGTGGGAGGACCCGCCAACGTTAGTAGCAGCCGATGTCCTTGCTGATGGTCACCCAAGTCCCTCAAGGAAGGGAAGGGTATCCCGCTCATCTCCATGCTCTAACACTGGCTCATCTCTGGGCCTGACGGGTGCTTCATGAACGTCCGTCCAACGTTTGAGGTGTGGTGGTAAAGGCCAGTACATCCACTAGCATGGGGGGGTGGGTAGAGCTGATGACATGCTCTAGGCACGTGAAATTGTTCCCCTAAATTGCCCAGTTACTTGATAAAGGTAGCGAGGCACCGCAGAATACGGAGCCCATCCATACACTCCAAGGCAGCCCTCTTCTCTGCCTTACACCTTAACATTTGAGTTCCCACACAGGGATTGCAGGAGAGGATGCTGAAGGCAGGCTCCTGAGGGCATGCGCCCTGCTCCCTTTCTAACACAAAGGGCACTTCCTTCTTGGAGAAGGGGCCGTGGAGGCCCGCAGACCCCGGCAGCGCCTGCAGTCCCAGGGGAGGGCTGCCCCGATTGGCCGGGATGGCACAGCATGGAACCGCACAAGGGCCAAGCTCCCTTCCCCTGGGAGGAGAATGGAGAAAAGGACAGCCACACCTGCTCAGAGACAAAGATGAGGCTGGCTTCAGGAGCTGGGCGTGGAAAAGCCCAGAGAGACGGGTGCACGGAGACAGCCCCTCACACCTGCAGTGATGCAAAGGACTGAATAAGCTCGTTCCTGACCCTCTTAAAATCCAGAAGCGGCCATTCATGATATTTGGAGAATTCCCATGCACTGGCTTTCTTTGCACCTTGTCTTCTTTTTAACAGCTGAAACAATTTCCAGAAACTTCCAAAAAAAAAAAAATGCTGTTTGAGGAACAG